TGGTTAGGGTGTTCAGAGAAAGTCTATTACATTCAATAAACATTTACTGAAGACACACTGTGTGCCAGGGACTATGCTAAAGGATAAATAAGACACAGTACCTTCCTGTCTGGCACTCTCAGTATGGTAGGAAAGATGTCATATAAATAAGAAAATTCTATATAAAGTAGCAAGTGGACTATTAGAATTATGCACAAAGGAGGGAAACTAAAATAGCCCCAAGAATGGGAAAAGGGTTGGAAAAGGCTTCCTAGAGAAGTAACCCTTAAGCTGATTCTCAAAAAACAGGACTAACTCTGGTTCAGCTTTGGGCGTGGTAAGCCTACACGAGCCCATTTCTCCCGCTGATTACAACTAAGAACTCATGAGAAGGCACAATCAGCAACTACCTGAGGACTCTGAAAAGTAAAGGTTGTGAAGGGAGGTCCAAACTTAGAAAAGAAACCTGCACAGGGATAAGTTTCCTGGCCTTTTTTCTTCTTTTATTCTACGGTTTAGTCTGGAGGAGAAGCCCCATTTGGGAACAGTTTGGCAGCAAGGTTAGCTCTTTCTGGTCCAGGGAACTGAGAAAAGGAGTCTTTGTGAGTTGGAAAATGAGAGGAGCCGAGGTGGGTGGTGGGTGGGGAGAGGTGAGAGCTAAAGAAGGGGATCCCTAATTTTGTGTATGAACTACACAAGTCTTGGGTTCACTCCTGGGTTGCACTTGTGTCAAGAGACCCAAAGCAGCCTAGAAAAGGTTTTGACAACTGATCTGAGTCAACCCATGGCCCAAGTCCAGATTAACCCCTGAGTGGCACATGTTCAGGACAGACCAAGCAGCATACACAGGCTTTAAAAACTGAACTGAGATTGCAACCATCACCCACAGAAGGCAATAGAAAACTTGCAATGTAAACTTAACCAGGCTGATTGCCTGCTTTAAAAAACATACATTCTCCAGAGAAGGACTTTAACACCATCCAGAGTCTGCACAAGGTAACTGTCACAATGTTCAGGATACAATAGAAAATTACCTGTTATTCAAAGAACCAGGAAAATGTGACCAAATCCCATTGGAAAAGACAATCAACAAATACCAACCCTGAGATAATGCTGATGTTATACTTTTCAGATGAAGACTTTAGAGCAGTTACTATGTGTTTCAGGAGGTAAAGATAAACACGTTTGAGATAAATGTAAAGGTAGACATTTTCAGCAGAGAAACAGAAACTGAAAAAGAACCAAGTGGAAATTTCAAACTGACAGGTACAGTATCTGAAATAAAAATATTCATTGGATAGGTGCAATAGCAAAATGGAGATGACAATAGAAAGAGGCAGTGAACTTGAAAATAGATAAATCAATAAATTATCCAAACTGAAGAGCAGAGGGGGAAAAGATTGGAAAAAATAGAACATATGAGCATTATGGGCATCTGCAATAATATCAAAAGGTCTAATAAACGAGTTATTAGAGTCTCCTGGAAAGAGGAGAAAAACATTGAGGCAGAAAGGTTATTTGAAAAAGTAAAGGCCAAAAACTTGCCAAATTTGGTGAAAGACATATATTTACAGATCCCGGAAGCTTGGTGAACTTAAACAGTTAAATTAAAACAACACGACACCTAGAAACAGAAACTTTAGAATCAAACTGCTGTAAGCCAAAGATAAAGAAGAAAACCCTGAAAGCAGCCAGGGAAAAATGAAACTTTACACAGAGAAGAGCAATGACTTGAATGACTGCAAAGTCCAGGGTAGCCAGAAGATACAGAAACATCTTTAAGTGCTGAAATACAAGTACTGTGAACTCAGAAGCCAGTATCACCCAGTGAATTCAAGACTAAAGGTGAAAATAAAGACATTCTCAAATGAAGGAAAACTTAGAAAGCTATTGTCAGCAGGCCTGCTGAAGAAAGCTTTTTATGACGAAGGAAAGAATACCAAAGGAAACCTAGATGTTCAGGAATGAAGAAAGAGCAACAGAAAATGTAATGACCTAGGTACATATATAATAAAAGACTATTTTTTTCTTCAATTCTTTAAATTATGGGTTTTGAAAGACAGGCAGGTGATTAGGGGAGACTAAGCTACTGTGACAAAATTCAGTGATTTAGGGCCGGCCAAGTGGCTCAGTTGGTTAAGAGTGGGAACTCTAAGCAACAGTATAGCTGGTTTGATTCCCACATGGGCCAGTGAGCTGCGCCTGAGATGAGCTGCTGCTGAGCTCCCAACAGGTGGCAGGATGGCTCAGCTGGTGAGAGCACGTGCTCCTAACAAGGTTTCCACTTTGACTCCCACATGGGATGGGAGGCTACCCCCACTTGCAACTAAGATTGAACACAGCACCTTGAGCTGAGCGGCTGCGAGCTGCTGATGGGCGGTCATATGGCAACTGGACTTGGAGCTGAGCTAGCTGTGCCCTCTACAACTAAGATTGAAGAACAACAACTTGGCTGTTTCCCTTTCCCAATTCCCCTACACTGTTCCTCTTCCCCAATTCCCCCAATAAAATCTTAAAAAAAAATTCAGTGATTTAAAAAACAGATTTTTTCAGAGGGGAGCATTCCAGGATGATAGGTAGGGCAGCTCTACTCCACACATTATTTAGAGACCCAGGCTCCTTCCATATTATGGGTCTGCAGTGTCCTAGGGCTCTGTCATCATCTATATGGTTAAAATTCTGTCACAGCCATGTCCAAGTCCCAGCTGAGGAAGTTGTAAGATGGGAGTGTTTTAAAGTCCTAGCCCTTTCTGCTCACATTCTATTGACATCCTTAATTGCAAATTCAGCTTGAAGTGGGGCAGTCATGCATTGGGTTATAACAATCACTTAGGAAGAAGGAGTAAATAGATTTTGGTAAGTAGCTAGCAGCCTCTACCACAGAAGGTAAAAGAGAAAGGAGGCTTTTTTTTTTTTTAAAGATTTTATTGGGGAATTGGGGGAGGGGAAAAGACAAGTTGCTGTCCTTTTGTTCTTCAGTTTAGTTGTGGAGGACGTCGCTTCACTGGCCCATGTTGGTATTATCATTGCGCTCTTCCTGGGTGAGGCAGTCACTCACTGGCCATTGGACGGCCGCTTACGGCGGGCGGCTCACAGCAGCTCACGAAAGCTCACGATGGCTGCCGGCCAGCCCCACTGCAGCCTACGCCGTCGCCAGCGACTCACAGCAGCCCAGCTCCAGGTCAAGCTGTTGTTCACCATCTTAGCTGTCACTGGCCCTCATGTGGGATCCGAACTGGGGCACTGCTGCTCAGAGCTGGCTTCCCAAGTCAACTCCTAACCAATGCGCCACTCAGCCAGCCTGAAAGGAGGCATTTTTAACAGGGGACAATATGATCAAAGGTAAGTGAGAAATAACAGAAAAAGAAGTGAGAAATAACATGTGGTATGTAAAGAAGTAGTAGCAATTTTGATTTTAGAATGTAAATAATGAGATAGGGATAACAAGAGATGAAGCTAGAGAGGTGGGAAGCAGAAGATGAAGTTGGATTTTATTCTCAGGGAATTGAAAGGTTTTATGTAGCAGATTTGCATTTCGGTTGGATACTTATGGGTGAAAGTTTTAAAAGTAGGTTATGATAATAGTATAGACTAGAGGTCTGATTTTAGAAGTATCTGTGGAAGTAAAATTGGCAGGACTTGGTGATAAACTAAGGAGAGAAAGAAGGAAGCATCAAGACAGGACCTCAGATTCCTTATAGAGATGACTGGTACCAGCATGGAATATCAGAGTAGGAGCAGATTTACTGGAAAAAGATGAGTTCAGTTTCAGGTGATAAGGATGAAATATTGTGAAGCTTGAATTCCTACAAAATATTTTTGATTTTATTAAATCTAAGTGTGCCAGTAGAAGTGTGTTGCTCAAGTCCAAACTCCATTGTATGGCATATGACGCCCTTTACAATCAGGACCTAACCTACCTCTCGCATATCATCTTCCATTCTCTTTTGTTTTAACCACATCAAACTTTTCTCAAAGAGATCTTTTCTGACTGAAATCTAAAACAGATTTCCTTAAATCATAGAATTCTACTTTCTCAGGTAAATTGTGAAAGGATTAAAGACCAAGTGATGGGCTGGAGAGATGGGGCAAGGGAAATGATAATGAGACTCAGGTTTATAATGTGGGAGCCTAAATGGATGAGAGAGAATCAGATGGAAAAGAACATTTCAGATAGACGACAAAGGAAAATGTTTATACATTTTGAGGCTGTGGTCTGTTTGGTCAAAGAGCAAAAGGAAACAAAAAGCTGGAGTCGGATAAAGAAGGCCTTTCCTTCTCTGCTGGCATAACTTTACTCAGGGATTCTGTAAATCGATGCCCTGCTCCACTTCCCTACAACAATGGAATTATTCGCAGGGATTAGGAAGGGAGTGTGCGTGAAGCCGCAGCTTTGGTTCCAGATTTTTTTCCTGGAGTTACTGGTATAGTGCTCACGTACAGCCACTGATTTGCTGCCTGACCTTGGGCAAACTGCTACTTATTCTCTATGACTTATCTCTATCCCCTTATCTGTAAAACGAGGATGACATGGAATTTACAGTGCTGTTATGACGAATAAAGGAGAGAGTACACGTGAAAGCTTACATGTGAGGTTCAACAAATGTTAAGCGACAGATGAACGACAGATCAATAGACGACAGATCTCGAAAGAGTGAGGGCAGGAATTTTAGAAAGTTATATAAGGGACTCCCTTTGCTCCCCACAAAGACCCGGGGAGCGGACGCGAAGCCGTACCTTGCAATTCTTGGCCCGTATTTCTTCATAACGGTTCGGCCGCAGCTCACCTAGTGAGTCATCGGATCCTAGGCTGCAGCTCCAGCTCGCTCCGCCACGGGGCGCCAGCCTGCGGGCCTCTGTGCGCTTAACTAAGTGTGATGCTGACGTCAGAGCACGGCGTCCAGTCTCCTAGGCAACCACATCAACTTCCGGTTTGTGGCGAGGCCTTGGTTGGCAAGAGACCACATTTCCGCCACGTGACCTGCGCAGGCGCTGTGCGCGCAGGAGGGCGTGCGTCTGCCGCCTGCAATAACCTGGCGTCTTCCAAAGTTCGACTTCCCGGCCTTCACTAGGGGCCGCCCACGAGGAGGTGGCGCCAGCCGGGACGGCCAGGTCTGGAGGAGGCGCGGAGCCAGGACTTGGTTCGGAGCTTCGGAGGCTCCGCTGAGAAGCCGGGCGGCAGCAAGACCGCTTCTTCCGAGCCGCCGAGCTGGAGGTGGAAATGGAACTCCGTGAGGCCGGGACTCCGGCTGCCGGTCAGGGGCTCCTCCAGGCCGAGTCCCCGGCAGAGAATGAGCCGGAGGCGGTGGCGGTCTCCCGGCGGAGCGGCGAGGCTGGGAGTCTACTGCACTGGTTCATCACCGTGATCCTGTGTGCCTCCTTTCTGGGGCTGGTGAGAACCGGGGCTGGACCCCTCCCAGGCCGGGGCGTGAGCAGGCGTCCTGTAGAGAACCATGCGAGTCTCGCCTCCCCTAGTTGCAAACTGTGTGACCTGAGGCGCGTTAATTGGCCCGAGCCTCAGTTTCGCAATCTGGGAAATGGTCACAGTTTTAACCTGGGAGGGATATTGTCACGTGCGAAATTGATTTTCCTAATATATTTCCCAGCTCCAGCAAACCTTCCTACCTCTCCTCCATGGGGTGGGGTGATGACAAAAGGTGTTGTCAGGTCTATAGCCCCCACCCGCTCCCACCCAACCCCCAAATTATTTACACAAAGTTGTTTTTCTGGGATTTCCTCTTCCTCGTCTCACCAAAATTCATGCAACCCCTTATTTTTGCAGATAGGGAAATAGAGTCAGAGAGGGAAAGTGACTTTTCTGGATGACACAGCTCGTTAAGTGGTAGAGCCAGGAATAATATCTCTTATTCTGCCCACAATCCTACCAAAAACACACCTTCAGCTCCTTCAGTGTTTTTCCTAGAGCAAACTGGAAGGCTAAAAGTGCCTTTTGCCAAACCATTTGGCCTTGCTATTCCCTTATTTCTGGAAACCTCTGCCTTATCACTTGTCTTGAATATTGAAATCCTGGGGAGTTGGGAGGGTGAGTCCTCTGAGGAGAGTAACTTCTGTTCATGTGGCGTGTTTCTCTGAGCCACAACTGATTCTTAGAATATTTTTTATTTGAAAAAGAAAAATTATTGCAGATGCTTGGTGAACCCTAACCCTGACTGTGTGTGCCGGGTCCTGTTGTAAGTGCTTTGAAGGCAGCAACTAATTTGATTATAGCTGAAGCTCAGCCTTCCTTCCACAGTGCGTGCTCCGCGCCTGTGCCCAGGCCTGCCCTTAGAGACTGCTCCAGCTTGGGCAGGGGGCGCACCCCAGCGTTTAGAGCAGAGCAGTGCAATTAGAATAAATTATTCTTGAAATGCAGACCAATTAGAAACATTTTTAAAGTATCCAACCAATTTCCTCTGAAAGCCAGCTGTAACTCTAATTCTTCCTAACTACATTGTCTTGGAGTAAAATTTTATTTTTAAAGTCACTGTATACATGTGTGCGTAATATTTTCTAAGAAAGCCTTACAGACTGTACTTCTGAGGGCTTGGGGTCTTTGAAGAGAAACGTGGATTTAGAAACTTTTACATGGTTTATCTCCTGTGTGTTTTATATGTGTAATTCAGAGGAAGAACCCCATGTGCATCCAGAAATACTTTTGATAATTAAAATTTTTAACATCTAAATTCTTGTGTTATTTGTGAATGTAGTATATTTAAAGATATACAAAACTTTCAAAAATTATTTTAATGTTCCATTTTACCAACTGTTAATACAAAATAGTCTTTTACGGTATTGCTAAAAAAGGAAGCAATTGTAGCAAAAAGCCAAAAGAATTAAATAATTTTTTAAACATTGAGAGTTGTCAAAACTAGAACAGTAGGAGGTGGCACACCAGAAATAGGAGTCTATAACTCTAGCAGTACTAACATGGTCATCGTGAATTTTTCCTGACTGGAACTTAAAGTACTCCCCTACATTACATTGGAGTCCCCTCATTCCTTTTTAATAGTAAAAAAAGCTACCACATAGATAGACATTATTTTAATGATTGTAAATAAATCCTTCTGTCTTTTAAATTTTAAGGGATTGAGTGTCGCTATACTGGGACCCACATTTCAAGATTTGGCAACGAATGTGAACAGCAATATCAGCAGTCTTTCTCTGATTTTTGTGGGCCGTGCCTTTGGATATTTGAGTGGCTCTGTGATTGGTGGAATTCTTTTTGACATTATGAACCATTTTCTACTTTTGGGTAAGTAAACACCACTTTTACCTTCTTTATGACTTTTAAGGAATTTATAATTTGTTTTTAAATATGAAACAGTAGCTTGCAGAATGGTTGACAGCTTAATTGGATAGTGTTAGGTGTCCTAAATGGAAGTCAGGTTTCCCTGGTGTCTGCTTTCATCTTGGTATTGGCAGTTCCAGGGAATCTCTGTTGGGGTGCTCTGGAAATTTAGATTAGTCCTAAAGTGTACTAGCGATCCTTAGCCTTCCCTGCTGTCACTGTAACTTGGGCACCTCCCCTGAATCGCATACTAATTGTCCAAAGAGCGCTGCTTGTCAGAGTTTAGGGCAGATCTGGGGTCACCATAGGTCAAAATAAAGTCCTTGAACCTGCCTAAGCTAAACCCTGGACTGAAAATGAAGGGTGGGGGTATTGAAATGACATAGGCTAAATTTTTGTCCCTGCTGTCCCATGTCAGTGATGACCCAGATCTTTCTACCTCACCCTTGAAATATTGGGTTGTCGGAAAAGTCATGATGCATTTTTGCAATGAAAAACAGAGAAAAATACGTCATGACTTTTTCAACAACCCAATAGATGGCAAAGCTTTACTTTTTAGAAAATAAATTGACATGTTGAAAGAAAGTTTGGATGAATGTGATAAAACTGCTTTGGAAGTCAGGAGAATAATTTACTATTGCTGATGAATAAATAAATAAATAATCCTCTGATTTCCAAAATAGGTTAAAAGAATATATTTCTTTCATTTCCCTCCCTATGCCCCAAACTAACTTATTTAATACATTTGTACTACAAACTATTATACTGTAATAATTGCATTTTTTTTTGTCTTTATTTTTTGCTTCATGTCTAAAATCTATTTAGGTTCTTAAATATGAAACATTTAAATAAATAATTTTGAGCTGTCTGTTTTGGTATAAAACTTTGCCTTGTGATATAATTTATAGTTCGATTGTTAGCAGTGCTATAAATGTATTCATATTAGAATAACTTTTGTAGTCCATAAAGATTATAAAAGCTTTTAAATGAAATAACCATTTGTAGAAGCTGACTCTGTCATTTACTGATTATTACTCAGTTTTAATGTGACCTGTTTTGCATTTTTTGGGAGTTTTAATGATGTTGACTTGATCCATGACTCTGCACGAATTCTGTTTCTTACAGCTGACTTTTACCTTTCTTCTCAGGGGTGTCATTGTTGGCTACCACAATTGGTCTTTATCTTGTTCCATTTTGTAAGACAGCAGTGTTACTGACTGTCATGATGTCCATCTTTGGTGTTTCAATTGGCATTATGGATACAGGTTAGTGAGCCTTTCAGTGTCATCTCTGGGAGTAGGGACTTTTCTGCTAGAAAACAGTAGAGCAGATGATATTGTCACTTGCATCCACTGACCTACTGAGTTGGTTATGGGTCACCCAGTCAGAACCACCCTTCTGGCAGCTACCCTTTGTCAAGTAGAGTACCTGTTGTTGAGTAGCCACAGAGTGAATTTAAAGAATTTTGTTCCAGGAGAGATTGTTGATTTATAGTATCCAAGCAGGGAAGTGCCCATGGGGGAATTACAGTGCAGGTGAATGGGCTTTCGTTTCAGGATGGAACTTTATCATCATCATGTGGGAAGAATTGATGATTGAGTTAATAGGTTAAGCCAAGCTTGGAACTGTTATTTGGCTGAGGAATCATAGAAGCAGCTGTTCAATTTAAGATGCACTCTGCCTTTTTTTAAAGATTTTTTATTGGGGATGCACCCTGCCTTTTGAGCTAAGAGAAAACTGTGCTGTATATTATGTTCCTTCTCTTCCTTTTCTTTCAAAAGTTCCTGCCCTCCTGCAGGAGATCTTCTCCATGTATCTTGATATATTTTGAAACCTACTAAGTAACATACATGACATTTGTTCACCCCAAATCCAGTTTTGTCCCCCTCTTCCCTGTTCTCCTATTATTTGATAAGTCGGGGAAATATTTTATAGTTTAGGCTTAGTTTGGTTGTGAAATTACAAGGTAAAATTGTATGTTTATCTGCAAATATGTTAAAAAGGAAAAAAGAAAGAAAGCCCAAGACTTGATGCTTCTTGCCCTTCACCTTGCAGGTGTGCAGATAGTGTAAGTGCAGAGGCTAGACATGCCCTCGTTTCCTGTAATGGGCGCAGCAGAGTCCTGTGGTGCTCACATTCCTGAGCGTGGGTTTTGCATCTGCTGTATACATAAATAATTTTTCTCAAATGGCTACCAGTTGCAAGCACAGAAAGATTTGGTAATTTGGCCACTATCTGATGGTAATATATATTTAAAATAGTTACGGATAAATAAATATATAAATACCCCCTCACCTCCAGCCCCGTATTAGAACTGTATTATAAAAGCCTTGGGTGAATGTGTCTAGTTCGAGGACATAGTGGTTTACTAGCTTGTAGAATTCCTTTTGTGAGTATTTGAGGTTACAATGCTTAGAGTTCTCCGGTGGTAGTGGTGGGTTCCTTAATCATAGAATTGACTTAATTGCAACATTTGATAACTTAGAATATTATAATCCTTGTGCCATGTAAAATAGACTCATCTTTCTGATAGTAATGAATTTTTTTCCCTAAGTTATTATGATTAAACAATTTTCCCTGTCTTTCATTGGTAGGTGGTAACGTCTTAATCTTGGCTATTTGGGGTGACAGAGGAGCCCCACATATGCAGGCCTTACACTTCAGTTTTGCCCTGGGTGCCTTTTTGGCTCCACTGCTGGCTAAATTGGCATTGGGCACAACGGTGTCTGCTGAAAACCACACACGGGCTGACTTGAACCATTCTGTCATCAACCAGTCATCTGAAGCTGACTCAGAATCTCTGTTTGGAGTACCTGACAATATGAATTTACTGTGGGCTTATTGTATTATCGGTACTTATATTTTTGTAGTTTCTGTCTGTCTTTTTGCTCTGTTTTTAAACAAAAGCTCAAGGCAGGAAAAAGAAAAAGCATCTGCTCAGAGGTTTCGAAGAGCTAAATATCACAATGCCCTTCTTTGTCTCCTTTTTCTGTTCTTCTTTTTTTATGTTGGAGCTGAGGTAACCTATGGCTCTTACGTTTTCTCATTTGCAACCACCCATGCCGGCATGACCGAAAGTGAAGCAGCTGGGTTGAACTCCATCTTCTGGGGGACCTTTGCAGCCCTCAGAGGCCTGGCAATCTTTTTTGCTACATGTTTACAACCTGGAACCCTGATTGTGTTGAGCAACATTGGCAGCCTGGCGTCATCTTTATTTCTGGTGCTTTTTAACAAGAACCCAACTTGTCTGTGGATAGCAACTTCAGTGTATGGGGCCTCAATGGCAACCACGTTTCCCAGTGGTATTTCTTGGATTGAGCAGTACACAACCATTCATGGGAAAGCCGCAGCATTTTTTGTAGTTGGCGCTGCCCTGGGAGAAATGGCTATTCCTGCAATAATTGGAATTCTTCAAGGAAAATATCCTGATTTACCTGTGGTTTTGTACACCTCTTTGGGGGCAGCAGTAGCCACTGCTGTTTTATTTCCTGTGATGTATAAATTAGCCACCTCACCTCTTCGTCGTCAGCAAAAAGAACACAGAAAAAGTGAGGACCAGAAAGCTTTGCTCTCTAGCTCTGGGCTAAATGACTATTAGGAAGGGAATGAAGAAGAAGATGCAGAAAAATGGAATGAAATGGATTTCGAAGTGATTGAGATGAATGATATAATGAGGAATTCTGTAATAGAGACATCTAGAAATATTTTGATGGAGCCCACAGCAGAAGTCTCCAACCAATTCCACTCAAATGCATTAGTGTTTGAGTCCTCTGGTTAATACTGGCAAGTCCCCTGTGAATCACCTTGTGAGAAACCAGGACAAAAGGGACTAACAGAGAAGATGGATTATTTACTGACTTCCTTGAAATAATTGCCAGCTCTAAAGAGGCCAGTCAGAGGGGAGCATTAGCAGATTTTCAGCATGCTTTGGAGATCAAAATTTCTAGGTCAGAGTATAGCAAATGCTAAAAAGTTTTGAAATGTTTTGTAATTCTCAGAGTCTTGCATAAAGAACCAGTGGTCTCATACAGCAGGATCTGGTTGTGAGGCTAGTGTTGGGCATGTGGCTGATTAGGTAACGTTTTATGGCCTTCACCTGTCAGCATGCAAAGAAAGCATTTGTTTTTGAGGAGCTGGGTACTGTCTCAAGCCAGTTCTTAACAATCGCGCCACTCGGCCGGCCCTGGGTACTGTCTTAACAGAATGAAACCATCTAGTTGAATCCATTAGCTGAACAACCAACCAGTCATCAGTATTCTACCAAGGAAGCTGATGAGAGTCATTTCATAAAAGAGCATCTTTGAAAATAGACAGATTTTTATTAATTGCTTTACCCTGTGTGTAGCATTGGTCCAAAGAACGCTAATGCCTCATTTGATTTCTGATTTTTGTGAAGAGGACACAGCAGGGCCCTAGAGACCTGGCTCACACCTTGGTTGATGCCACTAGCCTTCTGGCCCTGCACGTAGTCACTTAACTTACACAGCTCTCGTTTATCTCACCTCCTGACCTGTGATGCAATAAGTGAAAATGAGATGATTTTCAAACTAGGAATCCATAAGTTTTAAAGTTTGTGTAAGATGTCTGCTAGAAATTAGTATGTCACCCCATTCTTCATATCAAATGAGAAATGAAACAATTCATAGCTTTAAGAATGTGCTACTGATTTTGAATACATGTCAATTTAAGAGACTTGATGTTTAATACTTTATTTGAATAATTACCTGAAGAATACATTTTAGTACTGTATTTTATTGATTCTAAGATGCACCTTTTCTCATATTTTTAACATTTCTGAAATCAGGATATGTCTTAAAAATCAATCATTTAACATTGTGACAAAATTTAATTGACAGTTTTTTCCATATACATATGTAATGTTGCATTTTTACAATCAGTATCTTAGATTTAGTGAAATACAGTAATTCATTCAATTATGGAGATTATTTTTACAGATATTTTAAAAAGGAAAAGTTATTTTTATGTGCTAACTTTCTCTGTGTTCACCTGGGATTTGGAGATGCTATGTCCCGACTTCAAAAGCTGTTTTCGAGTTACTCCATAGGCACTAGGGCTGTGGATGAGGTTTCCTGAGGTCCTCTGCTTGCCTCAGTAACAGAGCCTGGGTCTGAGCCTTGCTCTCCCAGGATTTGCTCCTCACTGAGTCTGGTTGTTAATCACACTTTAAGCACTGTAAACCAGATTGCTAGTTTCACTTACAAGGAGGCATAGTCTTTTTTCCAGGGACTGGAATACTCGTATCACCCATCCAGGGCTCCTTCCTGAGCTTGAAATACCTGGGAAACCAAAGTAATGATTAGAAAGTGGCTTGGTGGCCTAGGAGTCAGGGATTGTAAAGGGCACTTCATCTGAGCATGGCAAGGCTGGTGTGTGCTATCCTCTGATAAATGACTAGCACTGATGACAGGTTTTCTCTACTTTTCTTGACCAGGTTTGATGCTGAATAACATCTAATTTCTACCTGATTGCATGTCTGCTTTCTCTTATCTAATTTCTAGAAATTTGCCTTTGTTTTTTCTTAAGCGAGATACAGCATCTTTCTTGACCACTGCCTGTTCACCTTATATACCTGCCACAATATTGGTTCATATTAATAATCTAACAGTTTTGGGCAGGGCTGGTGGAGAAATTAACAGGAAGAAGCCTATTCTTCTTGCTCCTTTTATACTGTATTTTTCTGTTGGCCAGAACTTGGAGATTACCTCTACTTTTATTTATTACTTTCCTCAGGTTGTTGGAATTGAGGCAGTAGCAGTATTTGGCAGCTGGGAGGCTTGCTAGAACAGGGATTCTCCCTGTAGCATCTACATGTAGGGGTAGAAGATGCAGCTCAGGGAGAGAAGGCTGGTAATAAGAACATAACAGAATTTGGAAATCTACACTGGAAAATCCACTTGCGTTCTGCACACCAAAATATGAATGGCCATATGAGATTATAGGCATTGTTCAGGTTTGATCATGTATTTCCATATTGGAAGGATAAGACTTAGTACAATTCCAAGAATTAGCATTCATCCTAATAATCAGTTCTTAAGTGTCTGCTGCTATACAAGTAACCAATACAGAAGTTTTCTTATTACTGTGTAACAAATGATTACAAATTTAGCAGCGTAAAATAACAGACTTTTATTTCACAGCTTCCTTGGGTCAGGAATCTGGGCACAACTTCGCTGGGTCTCTGCTCAGGGGCTCACAGGGCTGCAGTCAAGCTGTTGGGGAGACCTGTGCTCCTTTCTGGAGCTTGGGGCTCGCTTCTAGCCCCAATACTGTCAGTGGTTGTTACAGTATTCAGTTCCTTGCTGTGCTAGACTGAGGTCCCCACGTTTTGCTGGCTGTCACCTGGCACCAGTCTCAATTCCTAGGACCTCCCACAGTTCCTTGCCATGTGGCCCTCTCATAGACCCTCTCACACCTGGCAGCTTAACTCTTCAGAGCTGGCAGGAAAATCTTGCCTGAGTCTGGTAAGCTAGAGGCTATATACACAATGTAAACACAGGAGCGGCATTTACCGTTGCCATATTCTGTTAGCTGGAAAAAAGTCACCGGTTCTGCCCACACTCAAGGGGAGAGGCCAATGCAGAGATGTGATTCATTGGGGTGTCTTAGGGTGTCTCCTACACTCAGGGACCTGCAAAATCAAGGTTCAAGAGAGCTAAAAAGTTTGAGCTGGGGGGAAAAGCCCTTCAGCAGTCACTGACAGTGGTTATAGGCACAGCCCATTGAGTGTACTTGTGTGGGATGGAAGGCTCCCCGTAGGCCAGGCCAACAAACCTGAAAGGGGAGAATCTTCTTTATGTGTGGGTTCCCTCAGAGTTACACTATTTTTTTCTTGACATTTTGTTTTACAACTGTGCTTTTAACCTGTGCAAATGCAGCTGAATATGAAGCAAACAGATAAATTTCAATGTAAATGCATTTTCATAGTAAAGTGCAAAAACACTTTGAGAGCATTTTTCAGTTACTCTGTTGTTTTTTAAAGAAAAATCTGTTTTAAAAATCAGTTTTTATTTTAATGAAGGTGTTTAAAAAAGGTCATGGTAGAGTGGTAGAAGATTAGGGAAGTACATAAAAATATAAGGAACAAGTATAAGTAATTCATAATCCTAAACACCCAGAAAAGTTCTTAGATTTCTCTTCATTTTAATTTCCTAAGTAAAGGGTAAAGGGGTAAAAAAAATTTCCTCCTACCAGATGAAGTATCAGAAACAACTTGCATTTTGTGTCTAGGGTACATTAACACTATACTTGCTGGACAGGTTATTAGTTTAGTTTGAACTATAGTTTCTTTTTTAGAAAATGTAATTGGGAGATGTCCAGTGTAGTAACACAGTCCTGAAAAACGTGTGAGACCCAGATTACATGTAAAATGATTTCTTTTTCAGGTAGATTCATTGTGTAATCAGGATTGCTTTCTCATAACCAGAACTTTGGGTTTACCATAGCAGTGTTATCACTCAATCTTGCCACTTAATAGTTATTAGTAAAATAGAGCTTAAAATTCCTAATGAAAGTAGACATATTCTTCTGGGCTGCCCTCTGTCTATGTTTAATGCCACTTGTTTTGTTCATAGTGTTATGAGCATGTGTGTATGTGCACATGTGAACCCATAGATGTTATGTGTGTTGGATATTTTCTGATTCTGTGGGGGTGCAGTGGGGTTAGAGGTGGTAGGGAAGGGATTAAAAAAAGTTTAAGTATGATTCAAAGTTTGTGAGAAATGTTCCTTTATTGAGATGGTTGTAGGTTTACATGCAGTTGTGTAGTATTTTACTAAAATTCGCTAAGCGAGGGGTACTTGCTCAGTAGGGTAAGAGCTAGATGGTGCTTCTCATGCTTTAATGTGCATTAGAACTGCTTGTTAACATGGATTCTAATTCAGTAGGACGGGGGTAGAGGCTGAGTTCTGCATTTCTAGAGCTCCTAGGTAATGGGGTGCTGCTGGCCCATGGACTGACCACACTTTGGGTAGTAAGGTCCACTGTTGGGGAGTGTTGAATTCTTTAGTACTTTTGGGAATTTGGTTGGTTTTATTTTAACGTTTCTATTATAAACCTGACCCAAATCTTTGGGAATCCGAAGCAACTGTGCACCCACTCCTCTCACTCACACGCCAGGACTCTATTCTGCGTTCTCTTCAGTCCTCTCCATTTAGCATGTTGGCTGTTAAATATTTATTTCACATTTGTTGATTGTTTCCTGTCTTGCAGTTTCTGTGGGAGGTGCTAGGTGGACACTGGTGAAAAGATCAGGAGGTTCCTGCCTTCATGGGACTTACCCTCCAGCATGTTCCAGAACTGTGCAGTGGAACGTCCCATGATGATGGAAATGCTCTCTCTCTGCATTGCCCAGTAGCCACTGGCCACATCTGGTGAATTGAGCCCTTAAAATGGGGCTAATATGACAAAGAAAATGAATATTTGAATATAAATTTATCTACGTATGGCTGTTGGCTGCCATATTGAATAGCACTTGTCTAGTGGGAGAAACAAGATGGTAAACAATCACATAAGATGTTTCCAGGGAGGCTTTATTTCCTGTTGTGCTGGAAATTAATACCTATCTGGAGTCAGAAAGGTGGTGATAGATACCTTGTCAAATAGCTCAATATAAATTATCATGGCACTTAAGAAATGCCTGGTGTTATGGGTTGTGATGGTAGACTGTGGTGTTTAGTGATCTAAAAGCAAAAGTTTTGGCCTGCCTTGTGTGTAAAGGAAGCAAACGGAGGCTGGTGACTTTGGCTGTCAGGGATTTGAGCCCTTTCCCTTAATGCTCTTTGGCCAGTTGGCTTTTTTTTTTTTTTTTTTTTTT